AGATTACCTACGACCCAAACCACGCGTTAGAGGCACTGAAGTCATTTACATTCAGGGATGTCGTTCAGGGCCGAGTTGCCATAGAAGAGACTCTCAGTGACGCCGACAACCAGATTCACAATAACGAATCCTCGCTCACAAAAGCGCGAGGCCACACTCCAGCCACACCCCTCAACGATTCCTTCACCTTCCTGCTGAAAGCCGGGAACGTCCAGCCAGCAAAGGGCGAGCTTCACTTCACCATCTTCCCCCACCACCAGATGCGCCACGGCACAAGAGGTGTCCACAAAGCGCACGGTGCGAGCCACGAGCGCACGACCCCCCACTTGGGAGCTCACAACAGAACGACTCTGGGAGCCGGACACAGAGACTCTGTGGCACACAGTGCGACTGCCGAGAGCTCGCACCCTCACATTTTGTCAAACAAAAACCACAACAAGACTCAGCGGAAGGCGAAACCCCACAGCCGCTGGGGGAACCGAACGCGCAATCATGGAGGACGATCAGGGAGCATCCCAGAGGTAGCAGTGGAAGAAGGCCACACTCATGCCCCTCAACCCCACACTCCTCCGGTACCAGAAATGCCGGTTCCAATAAGCCCTCCGATCCCCGACCTGGTCCAAGTCGAGATCCTCCCCCGTCCCGCCTCTGATCCCCTCCTAATTATCCTTCCTCTGCTGGCCTGTTTGCTTCTCATCATTATCCTCGTGGTTCTGATTCTGGTTTTCCGGCATCGCAAAGAGAAACAAGCTCGGCAGAGACTGATGCATGAACTGGCTGCGGTGCAGCTGCCCACCGAGGACAGCCCATACCTGGGCCAGCCAGAGAGAAGCGCAGCCATGCCCAACGTGCTGGTCACCCAGCTCGGATCCGCAAGCTGTCCCACCTCCCCCAGGGTCTCCATGAGCCCAAGGAGGAGTCTGGCTCCAGGAATGACCTTCTGGGGGCCGTTTGAATCCAACTTAGCAGGCAGGGATGGAAACATCAGAGGTCGTAACAACAGCGAAAGAGATTCTGGTGATATGCCCAAAGTTTCTCCTGCAGGATTTAAAACCTCGTGGAGATCCCAGTCCCCAACTCTTAAAAACAGCCAGTATTGGGTTTGAAGGCAAGTTCTTCATACATAAACTGTGCCTTATAAAGGTGTATTAGTAGGTATGTTTGCTTTCTATGTGTCATATGTGTCATTTCAGGCTGATCTAACGTATATAGAATATACATCTTCCATCTAAGTGGTTTAGTTTCACATGAATTGTTTTGCTAAACTTTGCTCTGATGACGGAAAATGTCAATGTAAAGTGAGTTCTGTTGTCTTAAGGAGTTCCCTGGGTTACAGTTAAGCAAATATTTAATGAGGAAGGCTGCTAATATTTTTTTAATTTGTTCCCAGACAGCTAAGTTAAACATTATAAACAAACACATTACTGTAAATGGCTAACATACGTCTCAGTGAGGTAGTAAGTTGTTAAAGAGCCTCTTTCCTTAAATTTGATGTTACTTCCTCTAACTTCCATATGTCAGCTGTTAGATTGTATTTTACTATGTGTGCCCCTTCAAGTACTGTGAGTTCTATGTATGCAACAAAGAAAGCATTGCAAAAGAATTCAGACCCCATTATTTTTTTGTCTATATCTACAACTTTCAATGTGTTTTATTGGGATTTTATGTAATACACCAACACAAGGTTATTGGACATGTTTCGTTGTGTTGTTTAATGTATTTTTAATCTTGCTGTCCTTTTGGAATACAGACCTCCACACGTCATGCTCCACAAGCTGTTTAACTTGATAAAATTATCAATACCGTTGGCAGATATTACATTAAGCACAAATATAAAGATTGAAAAGTCAATAGTTTTTAATGTTTTGTCCTGGTTTGCTTTGAAATTCTTGAAAAAAAGATAAAGTGCATACAAAAATAAATACGAGTATGTAGGAGCATAAATGCTTGTGCAAGGCAATACCTGCATAAACATTGTTTTGCTTTTTGAACTCTCATGTTTCATTGGTCAAGGTTTGTAACCGTTTAAGGCAATGAACCGATGCAGCAGCTATTGTTTTATGAACAATCACCTGTGAAATGTACGTGAATGATGTAGACTGTTTCTTCTTAATATGCTACATTTTTTGTCATTTTGAACCTCTCCATTGTGTGCTTTATTAACCTGTGTTGTTTACTGTTCAAATGTAAAATAGTTTTTAATAAAATATGTTTCTTAAAAATTACCGTTGGTGTAAGATAATAAACTTGAAATTAAAAAAATAAAAAATAAAAAAAACCTCAGTTTTCTATTGAGGTAAACCATCTGCCTGTCTTTTGACGGTAAAGTTGCAGATTTTAAATATATAAACTCTTAGTTTCCCTTTAAGATACATAGCTTGTAGATTTAATGCATTTTGATTTCTAAAAGTGAATAAATATTCTACTTTTAAAACTTAAAGTTTAAAATAAGTATTAAGTGATAAAAGGTGTAAAATGGAGAGTGAGTAAAGAAGGAAAGGAGCCAGTTCTAAATAATAAAGGGCCTGCGGCTAAGGTAAACTGATCTTAACTTTGTGATTGTGGTGTCGGGTATCAGGGATGTTACCGTCTGCACTGGAAAAACTAGTTATAAAACTCCCTTCCAAGGCATGCATTTTATCTGAGGACTTCTAATATATACAATTCATTATTTACTCAATATCTAGATGGATGAAGTGGCCTCTGACATCTTTAAAGTGAACTGAATGCATATTATCGTGCATTTAGAGTTGTGTTATTTTTTTAAAGGATTTCTAAAAAAAAAAAAAAAGGGGGACTAAATATAACTCGCAATGCTGAGGAAAAAGAGCAGAGTGCTTTAAGGCATAGATGTAAATCACCTGCTAAAATGTGACACTGACGACAGGACGCAGCTCCAGAGTTATACTCTGAAAAACATTAAAAATCTGAACACTGAGATCTTGTCAAAGTCATGTTTCAGTTTTATTCAACTATTTGAAGGACACAGTTAAATGGAAGAGTGAGGATGGTGCTGCTGTGAAGTCCCAGGAAAACTAATGTGAAGTCTGACCTGCAAGAACCATGTTTAGCAAAACTGCAGTGTTTTTAATTGTAAAACTGACGACAGTAGCTGTCAAAAACCGTAGCAGTGATAGGAAACTCGTCTGATCATGACGTCAAACTAAGTCTGGACCCGTATGAGATTCTAGTACAACCTTCAGCAGAATTACCACAATTTTATGTTATTATGAGATATATATATATATATATATATATATATATATATATATATATATATATATATATATATATATATATATATATATATATATATATATATATATAACAAAAATTTAAGACAAATGTATAAAAAAAACTATATAATCATATGCATGTTGTTTTTTATTCTGCAGATACAATATCTATATTAATATTTGTGTGTTTTTTCTGAGAAAACTGGAAGTAGACGTCAGCTAAAACACCCAAGAAGCAGCAGCTTGATTTTTTTTAATTAACAGATGTGAAAAGCGGTAAAAGAAAACCTCAAGAAAATACAAAGTAAAAGTTAGAGATATAGTTCTGACGTAACCGTGCCTATTGAACAGACTCATTATTTCTGCAATTTATAAGGAAAATAGTGGCTTGTTAGTTCAGTCAAAGGTTGTATATTACTGATTACTTACTTCTAATGTTTATTGAAGAAAAAAATCTACTTAAAAATCTCAGATTGTGTCCCTCCTCTGGTAGCTAACATTTTTGCAACAGGAAAAAAATCCACACAATTTATGTATTTTCAGATCAGGTCTTTTGACATCCTCAATGAAGTAACCTGTGGTGCCTCAAGGCTCCTTTCTTGGACCTCTCCTGTTTTCTTTGTAAATGTTACTCCTTTTACAAGCCAACTGTATATTTCCTTTAACCCAAATGGAATATTTTAAACTGAACACACATCATTACCGCATCCCAGATATCAAATGCAAATGGATAGTACGTAACTCCCTGCAGCTAAACATGTACAAAACTTGGGTCATCTTTTTTGACTCAGATGTATCTGACTCACTAGTACACGCCTGAACTCCACGCCTGTAAAAACCTTGTATTTTTTGCTGTTACTTCACCTTCAAGGCACCTCAGTTATGCTGCTCAAACATTTTTCATGTAGCTTCAGAGACTCAGCAAGGTCACTTTGAAAGAGTTTCAGATATAATCATTCATGCTGCGTCTGTAGTACATTTCGATTTTGCAATACAAACTTGTCTGATCCTGCAAAAGTTGCGTAAATTACACATCACACAAAGTGCAGCAGCCAGATTAATTATTTAAGGCGAACATGGAGAATATATCACTTCACAGTGTGTCTTTCTGATCTGCCAATAAGCAAAGTTCTGTTGGTCGTACCAGAACCTGGACTTTAAACTAAGGGTGAAGGAGCTTTTTGGGTTTATTCTGTGAAACACTCAGCCTATCTGGATCAGACTAGCATTCTCATCCTTTACATTGCTTTATGCAAATATATATAGGCTGGTTGTTTCTTGAGTTACTAATTTCAGTTTTATTTGTGTTTAATTGTCAGATATGCATTTTTTATTACAGTTTAAATGTGTTGTGTTATCTTGTATTAAATTGCTTACTTTATTCTCTGGTATTTATTTTTTAACGGCAAAATTTTTGCCTTTTTCTTAAATGTGTTCTTTCATCTCATGTGCAGTCCTACTTGTGTTTTATTCATCAAATGTACTGCGTTTAAGATCATCATTATTATTATATCTTACTCTACATCATCTGGAATCACAATAAGATCAGACCTGGTTCCTGCTGCTGTGAAATTAATTTATATAGACTGTTGGTTCTGCAAAATTGAACTGACCCATATCCAGTTTTGTGAAAGAGTATTTGCCCATTAACACATTTCTTCTGTTTTTGGGGGGTTTTGTTACATTTAACTGTCTCAGTTTGTAACTAATGTCAATATATGTAAAAGACAACCACAATAAGTACAAAATACAATAATGCAAACATTTTTTTAAAATGGTGATTTACTTTATTAGAGTAAAAAAGAAAAACAAACCCACCTGGTCTTAGGTCTATTGCAGCCTGGTGAAGAAAGACATTTAGCCTTTAATTAAGTTCAATATTTTTTAGCTACAGGGAGGTGAACATTTGTGCCTCAGTTTATCATCTGACCCAAGTGAACTTAATCTTTAGGTCACAAACTGAACATTCTTCTTTCTGCCAGAAAGAAGAATTTACGGATGCATGTTAGTGTGATTTTCTCTTTTTGAAATGCTGTTAGTTTTATGTTAGCTGCAAAAAGACACACAACTTCCAAAATGTACCATTTTTACACAGGCTGTCCACAGAACACTTTCCAAAAGGTCTGGAGGATTACAATTAGCTTTTTTTTTTTTGCAAATGTTGTTATGAGCCTTTGTGTACTTATTGGCCAACAACGGTTTTTACTTTTGGGACTCTGACGCCATTTTGCAAACTCTTTTTGGAATTGTCAAATCCTTAAGCATGTTGGGCCTGCAGAGTTTTAGATGTTGTTCTTGGTTTTTTGCGACTTCCTGAATGAGTCGCAAAAAACACTCCAGCTAAAGGCTAGCCTATCCAAAGCTAACAGCAGCCTATCCATGCTAATAGACAGCAAAACAGCAAAAGGAAATCGGCGATTCAGCGGGTGACCAGCCTCAGCATGCTAATCACTAGCGCAAGGGACTAGTCACTATCTCAGTTACCAGTACTGGCTCATTATTAATCAGATCAGAACCTGGCTTCGGGTTAGATAACCTCCTGTGGCATGGAAGTAAGCATCACTGGCTGCACAATAATCCTAATTTTGACTCTAGTACACCAAAGGTATTATCTAAACCTGTTTTTGGGTGAGGAGTGTGAAAGGGGATAACTTTAAACTCCAGGCAGAAACTGGAATTTCCTTCTTGCTGCAAGGCAACAATGCTATCAACTACACCAGCCTTTAGTCTGATTTCAGAGTTAGTTCAACGATTTGACACTTTTAAATGCAACAAAGGCAGAAAAAAAAAGAGCAGAACTCTGCAAGGGGGCAAATACTTTTTCACAGCACAGTAAATAAGAAGGGAATGCAGAATAGATTGTAAAACTTTGAAACTGTTGCAATATCTGAATTGTCCAAGAGATAATATTTTTTTATTTTAATTTTTACAAAATGGTTTGAATTTCTCCAAACTGCACAGTCCAACAATACTGAGCGGGTTATTCAAGTAAAACCTACACATGGGATAATGATTACAAACGTTAACTTAGATTTCCACATAGGCTGTTTGGGAAGTCTTTTGTCCATGTTTTATGTCGATTTAGACCCACATCCCTTCAGGAAGAAACAGGAGACAGTGAGATGACCCAGAAAGCATGATCCAAACAGCAGGCTCCGGCACACCGAGAGCCGCTTTAAATGTTGCATGGAGTGTTCACAAAATCCCTGGAACTGGTACACTCATCAGAGCTCTCCAGATTATCCCACAAGTTGCTATTTTTGCAGATGCACACCTTCCAGAATGCCAGATGGAAAATCCATCACATCTTCAAGGTTTTTTTTTTTTTGTTTCCTTTTTCTTTTAAATGCTAAGATGTTGATCATCAATCCTTTGATTTTGTGCTGAAGTTTCATTCGATCTCCATCAGGCTAGCGCTCTCAGCCTCTTTCCTTGCTCTCAACCTCTGTCCTATTGGTCGTTGTCGTATTTGTGCAAGGCATCCTCTAGCTTGGCGGTGATCTTCTGGAAGAAGCTGATCTGCTGGCGCAGGTGATGCTGCATCTGCATCCGGAAGTCCCGCACACGCGTGCGGTGGAAGTGCTGGATTTCTGCTAGTGTGGCACAGGAAATGATGTTGCAGCGATCGTGGAGCTCGCCCTCCTTCTTTGGACAATCTTTCACCTTGGTCAGAGCACCTGGTAAACAGCAGAAAGATTCAATGAAAGTTGTTTCCTCCTTGATATATAAACTTGGCAACGTACCAGGAGATTGACGAGATTGAAGTTGTGTAATTTTTGTTTTGATTGGTTCTAATTGGTGATCAAGCGTAGAAAAGTGAAAGGTATTTTTCCTATTTATTAAGTGCAAAACAGAGTTTTATTAATTTACTCAGTAAAGCAAACGAGAGAGAGTTATGGAGTTGACATTTCAAACCAGCTCAGCACCTTATATTAGCAATTAGCACAATTAGATTTGTTAATCTCTTAGATGTACAAATAGATGCCAACATTTCCGAACCTAACTGGGACAATGACATGAACCAGGACTTAACCCCCTGGTTCCTGGGATTAAGTCCTGGGGAGCTTAACCCCAGGAAGTAGGGTTAAGTTCCTGGTTCCAGAAACCAGGAACTTAACCCTTCCTGGTTTCTGATCAAGAACAATTTCCTATTAAATAGCTTCTTACTCCTTTGTGCTTTCTCTGACTTGATCTGACTTCACTGATCTAATTTTATTTATCCACCACTGGAGACAAATCTTACGCCTAAGAATGTCTTAGTTAATGATATGAATTTGTGCGTAGGTACCTTACAGTCAGAGTTTCCTCGGTCAGACGCAAACTTGGTTTGTTAAGTTCAAAGTCAGATGATTCTGGTCACCAGCTGATGTTACTAAATTTAGAAGATGATTTAGTCTAGTAGGCAGCACTCTACATTCTACCAGTTTCCAGCAGAGATCTTCTCATTACCATCACAGCTGCTGGACCTGCAAACCCTTTCGGACGGGGCAAAAGGTCACATTCGGAAGAAGCTGACAAAGATCACAGTTTCCATGAAAAGCAGAAATGAGATTCTGAGTTTCCCAAACCAGCCAACCTCTTGATCTCAAGCTAAGCATTAAAATTCTCAGAAACAACTTTTTTTTGTGCATGCTGCTTCTGCAGTCAGTCTTTTAAAAAGCTTTTTAGTTTTGTAGATAAAGTTCCTATTTGCAGCCATGTTTCATCACAATCCCAAATTTTAGACCTCAGAGACTTGAAATTTTAACAGAGATGAAGATCATTTTGAGTGTCAATTCCAGTTGACACTGTAGGATTTTTGTTTATATTTATTTTGCACAGATTTGTGAGCTGGTTTTGTCCATCGTTGTGTTTTATTGTTGCTGTATGTACAGAACCTTTGGAAGAGGAGGCAAGTTTGTAAATGTTCTCTATAAATACATTTGGCATTACTGCTTGAAAAAGGTGCTAACCGCATGTCTGTTAGACACATTTCCTGCTCTATATTTATACCGTCTCCACTGAAATAGCTTTTCATGATTCACCCAAGCTCGCTTTTGGCACAAAATCTGAACTCTAGTAGTCTATTTAGTCAGAGCATCGACCCGCATTCACAGTGACAACAACAGTTTGACTTTTTGGGTTTGAGTTTTCCTTATTTCTTTTAAAACGCACTAAAAATGATCCGGCTGTTTTTTTCCGTGCTTCTTTGGCATTACCCAACACCCGAGACACGTCTCAGTGTTTAATATGACTCAACTTTTAGTGCGGAAGCGGTCTCAGCAGACCTGACTAATAAAAACAGGGATGGAGAGGAACTAGGAGTGAAGCCCTGACATGGCAGCAGGAAAAGAATTTCTTTCCTTTTGTTTCTCAGAAACAAACAAACAAACAAAAAAAAAACAATCTGCCCTCGCACAATCATAAAAGCGAGAAGGACTTTGCTCTCCCCCACAGCCGAGGCAATTACCGCGCTGTAATTTGAACTTGTGTACCGCGGGCCTGGTGGGAAACATCTACCAGAAAGAAGAAAAGGGGAAAAAAAAAAAGTGGGGACAGAAAAAGAGGAGGAGGGGAAGCTAATCTAATCCTAAAGCTGCTCTGTTGCTGCATTCCTGCAGTCCAGGAATGCAACATGGGACAAGAAGCCATGGAATCTCCTCCGTTCATTTGAATCAGATGTAAACTCTTTGCTCTTTCCTCGCAGAGCTATGATTGACAAAACTGGAAAGAAGAAAACTTGCCATTCAGTTGGATTGTTTTGTTGCACCTCAGTGCCACAAGTTTCAAAGCACAGCTGCAGGACAAATAAATGGTTTGACCAACTATAATGCCGTCAGATTAAACTTGTATATAAAACTGTACAATAATAATTCTCTTCCAGTCTATATGAATCTGTAGGTGAGTTCTGTCTGTACAAGGTATAGACGGAGGGACTAAGAATTCAATTTTTGGCTGAAAAGACTAATTCCACCATCCTGACAGCAGACTAAGCTATGCATTAGGGCAATGAGGTCACGGCAGTTCTTCTGCTGACACATGCAGAAAGCATGGCAGCAGCAGTCTGCACTAACTCAACACTCAATTGTTATCTTGGGGGAATTCCTGCTCTCCCCATTCATTAGGTGAATCAACGCTGTAAATTTTTTTGTGGCATGTAAACAAGCTAACGTGTAGATCATTCACCTCAAACAAGGAATCTGAAGCATTTTTTTTTCTTTTATGGACTTTTGATTCATTCATTTGTTGAATTTAGTAAAGTTTGAATACATGAATGCATTTATAGAAAGACGATCAAAATGGGCAGGACAGACCTAAAAGAATATCAACCGGAAAAAGCCTGAATGGTAAATTTTTTCTTGCAACATCTTTTTTTCTTTTTTTTTGCTACTCAGTTTCTTTTCAGTGATGCTGAAACATCATTAAAAAGTCAGGACATTTCCCCGTCAGGCAACCATAACAGCAATGTTGACCTTAACGTCTCATATTACGTCATTAACAACTTTAAATCTGCTTTAATCTTTCCGGTGAGTATAAAAAAAAAAATTTAAAAAAAAAGTGTTTTTCCAAGTCAAAAAGAAGGTGATGTCACGTCAGTCACAGGGACATTTTCAATTGGGGCTGCTTCAATAGCTCAGGGCTGACATTGTATCAGGAGAACGGAGCTCAGTGGACTAAAAGAATCGGTGCCTCCAAGTTTGGCAAATGTCTGGCGTTTGCATGCCAGCAGCAACTCCCTCCTCCCAACCTGCAAGGAACTAACAAGCTAACTCCTCTGGAAATGCTTTGTGAAGGTCTATGTGTGTGTATGTGTGTGTGTTCTTACATTGAGGCTCTGTACTTGTGTTACAATGACCCACTGGTTTCAGTTTTCAACCCAGATTTACTCAGCAGTCGGGTAAATGAAAACAGATGTCCTCCTTGGTATGGAAACACTCTGAATCTCTGCATATTTTCTCCAGTCGTATTTGACGTTATTAATGGAGAAATTAAAGCCCGGATGAACTTTAAACACCGTTTTTGTTTTTGTTTTTTCCTTTAGACAGGAAAATACAGAGTCCTGTTTAAAACTGCAATTCTGTAGTGTGGAAAGGGCGAGCCAGTGGCCTCTGGTTGCTTAACACGGACACAACTGTGTCTTTTTCCCCCCGTTCTCACATCTGCATGTAACTTCTGATGCATACTTCTGTCATTACTCACCACAATATTCTGAAAGCAGTGTGAAGTTACAATGTTAAAGACAATAAATTTGAAGAAACACAAAAAAGTTGCAGAAACATATGAAAAGGTTTTTTTTTTTTTCACTCTTGCTGATGAAAATGATTTCACTCACACACACAGAGTGCAAACACGATTCCCCACCTTTCTGCACGTGGATGATGTCAGGGAAATTGGACAGATGTCCTCTGTAGAGGTCCAGCAGATCAGAAATGGGTTCCAGGTCCTGCCGCGGCTGCTCTGCAAAATACTCCCCTATGGCCTCGTAGGCCTCTCCGGTGTAGGAGATGGCTTTGTTCAGGCCTGCCGAGTAGACCTGCTGATCCAGCTCAAACGCCTGCGCCAGGTGCTTGAAGGACTGCCCGACCTTCTGGTACTCCTTTTTGAAGCCCGTTATCTGCTTGCGGGCAAACTCGTTGATGGACGTGTTCACCACAACAATGTTCTCGTCCATCTTCTTGGTGAAGCTCTTAAAGCCCTCAATCTTGCTCTCGACTTCCTGGAGGTCCAGGGGGACGACTGGCGTGCTGAGACCAAAAAACAAGCAGGGCGGACAGCGGCGTTAGCCTGTGCGAGCTGGTTTTGAATCCCCGTCCATTAAAATCCGATCAGTCTCGTTGTTTACTTACTGAGTTAGCAAAACACTGTGGTGGTGTTGGTCATTGGCATATGGTTCTTGTTAGCGAGATATTTTTTAAAAACTAAGCTAGGGTGTGACAGTTTGATGGATTATGGAGAAGAAAACTGTTTAGAAATGATTGTTGTTTTTTTTTTAAACATTAATTTTATTTTATGTGTTGTTAGGCTTGGAAAGAGAGACTACTCAGTGCACTCTGTGTACTCTCTGTTTTTCTTGTCCTATTCAGGGTATGATGGGTTTAATTGTGTCTCTTTCCTGGATGAAGCCCTTGTCAGAATTATTTCTATCAATGACTCTGTTCCCCCTCTTTGCTTTTCTTTTCTAAGTAAGTACTCCTGGCTCAGGGATTGTTTGCTTAGCTATGCTTCTATGTTGTTTGAGTTACTGTAGGAGCTATTGCTATGTTTTCTTTCCCATGGAAAGTATTCCTGTTCTGATGCTTTCATATTTAATTGCTTTTTTTTTCTTCTTGAACAGTGTCAAACTCTCTTTGATTTTCTTATCAATAGAAAGTCTTCAGCGCTTCCTGTCCTCTCAACCCCCAGTCGATCACGCTGGTCTGCAACAAACCCTTCATCCATTAACAGGGTTTCTACTGCAATGCATCTCACAATAGCAAATGTTAACAACTTAGAACATCTGGCTGCAGACTCACAGTGTCCTATTTCCCTTTCTGAAATCTATCAGACGACCCTGCACATTAAAAATTAAACCATAGCCACTCGAGATGTGCATTGCTTTCCAAGGATCAGAGGGCATTTAAACATGTAAATTACTCCCACGGTGCTTCTGTGACGCATTTTTATGAGACCCAGACTGGGTCAGAGCCAGCAACAAAATAAACAAATAACTGTGTGTACAACAGCAGTGGTATCATTAAATATCTGACCAATTGTTTTTATGAACTGAGTTTTTTTTTTTTTTTTTTTTAGAAACAACACAGCCAACTTTAGATTGACTGACTCATTGAGTAATTTAGTGCTGTACTTCAGTTTATAGTCCAAACATTAACTGGAGTTTTAAAGGAAAGAAAAACTGACAACTCTTGAAAGGCAAGTATCCACGCAAAGTCCAATAAAACAATATAAAAGATCAAAAGGGCATTCACTACTTTCATAAAAACTGACTTCCTTTAAGTTGTTCTGGATTGTCATGAAATCCTTATTAGGGTGTAACCGGTTCTCCTCTTTGTACCACAACTGTGTATATGTGATGACAATGATAAGGATTAGAAACCATCTTCAGAGAATAACCTAGAATTCCAGACAGTGTGAACTACAAGGACAAGTGTAATATCTTTTTAATAACAAAGCAATGTAAATATGCTAAGAATCTGACATGTTTGATCGTTGCAGTCCTACTATAATTGTATATCCCTTAAAATTAACAAGGAATGTCATTTAGAATCAATACATTTACAAACCTCAGTAATCTCAGACTCCAGCTCCCATCTTCTGTAGGGATGAACTTCTTACCTGATCGTAAGGAAGAAGTTTGCGCCGACCAAGTCGTCCCTCTCTGCCTTTCTCTTGCCCATTTTCCAGGCCTTCTCGTCGGCCCCGCAGGTCAGGAAGTGCTGGAAGACGTCACAGTGGGCCAGGACGGGGTGACTTGTCATGTGGTTCATCCACCAGATGAGACCCTTCCTCCTCTTAGAGATAAAGTCCTCCTCAAAGCGGCCCGTGGCCTGCTTCTCTGGCAGGTGGGGTACCGAGATCACAGGGAAGCGCTCGACGAGCCGAGCGTAGAGCCAGTCGAAATGTTTATACCTGCAGTGAGATAAGTTTGAGAATCAAATGGGAAAGCTTGGATGGATGGAAAAGGAGACTGCACAAACTGAATACCTGCGGTTAACTTGTACATTAGTGTGCGTTGGGGTGAGGCCATAAGACATGTAGCTCTTCATGCCTTTGAACTTGGTCTGCTTCGTGGGGTCGTCAATGGTGCATGTGAATGGGTAAGGGTCCTCCTGCCACTCTGGTCCATACTTCCCCATCACCACACAGATCCTGTCCCCGTCTTTGACAAAAGCAGACGCCTCCCCGAGTAAGAAGGCCTCTCCGCCAGACTTGACGAAGGTGGAGAACCTGTTGAGGTTCCTCCCAACTGTAGCAGAGCTCTTGGCCTGCTGTTGCTGCTGCTGCTGGCTGGCCCCCCGACCCGGCAGCGAGGTGGTGACTGGGTACAAGGGAGGGGTGGTGCCTAAACCCTGAGGCTCATACTGAGCAGGAGAGCCGTCATCCCAGTCGTCGTCCCAGTCATCGTCGCTGCCCTGGCTGGTGTTGAAGCTGCTCCCTCCACCGCTGCCGACCTTAAACCTCCTCTGGGAGCTGTGGCTGGGGGACGGGGTTATGGTTTTGGGCGAGGAATAGCCATTGTTGCTTGCACTGGAGGTGATTTGGTCCCTGATGATGTCAACATAAGAGGCAGGAAAGAGGCCAACCTCCCCTTTGCTGTTTTCCCCCTCCAGCCAGCCCTCCAACTCCTCCTCACTGAACAGAGTCACCAACTCTTTCTCTGCTATGGAAATCTCTCCTGGGTTTTCAGCGTGAAAATCATACAATACTTTGGCTTTCAATGCCATTGTTTCACATTGACTAATGCTATCTCCAGATCTAAGCTTGTGTAAAGTTTCCTTAAGTACTCTCTGGTCAAAGTTAAAAGATCGTCCTTAAAATGTTCATGAGATTTTAAAAATCTTTATTAACGGCTTTATTAACTATAATCCAAACAAAACAACGCTGCATAAAACAAGAAGAACGGAAGACAAACAGCCTTGTATCCAACACCCACCTCCTCTCTCCGCTGCTTTTGGTGGGTTCAAATATCATCCGTTTCCACGCAGATATCAGACCTCATTAAAGATAAAACGTGTATCTTCTGCCAGCAGAAAACAATCGTTTGAGGTCGAAAGTTGACAAACCTGCGTCGGCTGAGAAAGCGGCTTGTTTCCTTCACATAAAAAGCCAGGACAAAGTTCCTCTGGGATGCTGGCTGGTTAAAGGCTCCAAGCTCAACACGTAGTTGACTGAGTAACGGAGGGTGGAGCCAGCTGCAAATTCAGTCAAGCCGCCTTCAGTTCGGTCATGGAAAAAACAGCGACTGTCCATGAGAGAGAAATCCACATATACACACAAAAAACGTTTGTGAAATAAGATGTGAAGTCATCAGTGCGTCAACGAGCAAAACGCTTCTTGAACAGTCAGAGAAACTTTGGGATTTGGAAACCAGCTTCAGGTTTTATGGTTTGTGAAAGAGTTCAGTTTTGAAGAGCATAGTTTTATGTAAAACGATAAGATGGATGTACGTATTAACTTAATTCAATAACCAAGTTTCTTGTTTCGTTGAAAATTATTTATGTAAGGAAAACGTAAGCATTACAATTATTAATTTATATATTTTTTAATCGCATATAGTTTGAGGGGTTTTTTTGTAACTTGAAAATAATTTTTAAAAATCAGTTTCGGTGTTTTCGTAAAAAAAAATCGTGTGATTTTAAAAGCACTTTACATTTATTTAAAGTCGTAATATATTCAAGTACATTTCATAAGTTTACTTAGAAAAAGTATTCTTTTCTTCAAAAGATATCTTCAAAAATACAATTTAATTTAAGTTGCAAGAATAGCACATCTATATTAAGATAGTTAATATTGCACACCTCTGATTTCTGTACAATTTTTTTATTTTTCATATATTGTGAAAAGTCTGTTATTTTTATTAGAAAATACCTATGCACATTATGCACTTTTTTAAGTGCTCCTACACATTTGCACATCTCTTACCGGAGTACACTACTTATGATAACTGCATAGTATTTCAGTCTTGTCCTTAATGTACAAGTATTTTTTTATCTGACCACTAGAAGGCACTGTTACAGCATGTACTGCAACATTCCTTTCAGCTGACGTTAAAAGGATGCTAAGAACTAGGTAATGTTAAATAAACTAAAAAGTGAAATTGAATAATAATGCTTTTTATTAGTAGCAGTATATTATTATTATAGTGCAGTTTCCTTATTGTCCACTAGAGGGTGGTGTTACTGCAGGCACTTTAATCTTCCATTTAGCTGACTATATAGCTTTAAAAGGATGTTATGATGTAAAACAGGTATTGGGGACTATAAAGTTAAATAGATCAATCTAATTATATGCTCTTGTTTAAAATTCGCTGTCGCAATGGTGTTAAATACAAATATTTGCAGGTATTACCCCCCCCCCAATGTTGCAGATAGTTTGGAGCTTAACTTCAAAATGTGTTCCAGTTAGTTTATCCTAGTTGCACCATAAATCGTCCATCACATTATGAGTACGTCATCATACTGTTTTTTTTTAATTATTATTGTTAAAAAATTAAAGAAAACAAAATAAAAACGAACAAAAATGTTTGGTTGAAAGAATAATTATTTTATTGTCCAGAATTTTTCACAAAACACATTTAAAAACTCTGCAGAATGTGCCTCGAGTTGTGCCGTGACAGAAAAGCTGAACCATGTCTGCGTTGTGTGTCTGTTTGCCATCTCCGGGGAGCACAACAGGATGTCTGATTGTCATTTCCCAATGTGAAGAATGTACGACAGACTCTCCAGATAACATAATTGAGTCTAACTTCACCAGACTCAATTAAAAACAAAGGGAACAATAGTGTGTTCATGCTGTTTCAGAGGTGCTGCAGGAGGATGGTGGACCAGCACGTCAAATGTCACGACTGCGGCTCCAGACGGGGAAGGACAGGGAGGATGAGGTTCCCGAATGAGGAGTCCTGAGTGATGAAGAAGCCTGAAGAATGCGAGTGAGCATGCTGCGAAGAAAACAAACAAACAAAAAGAATAATAATAATAAAAAAATAAAAGCTTTAAGACTGAATCCATCAGGCTGCAGTTTTGGTTCGGTTTGGTTCCTCACCTGTAATGCAGCTCTCTGCTGAGCAGCGATGTGCTGCAGCTCTGCGCTGTCTCTGAACTCCTTCATGTTTGGTCTGGACAGTGGGATGCTACGGGATGAGAGGATGACCGCAGCAAAAACATTTACAACGTTCACATGGCAGCTCTCTCTCGTCAATCTTTGCTCCAAAAAGTCTCAAGTTGGAAACATTTAAGAAGTGTCAGTTTTAAGATTAGGCTGTAATTTTGTTAGTAACTGTTAGTAATGTGGAAAAGGTGTGAGTACTTTGTCACTGTTAAAACGTAGAAGTTTTTTCAAAGGATTAGATCTCTACCTGGCTCCTGGAACGTTCATGGACTGATTCTCCCTGAGTCGCCTCTTCTCCTTCTCCAGCTCAGCCAGGATTGCTACCCGTGCTTTACTTGGGATGGCTGAATGACAGAAACCGGACCAAATAGACACAAACACAGAATGAAAACTTATGAAATATCAGGCAAGAATAAGTGAAAACAGAAGGGATGCATTGCAAAATAAGCTAAGCAAAGTTCTAATTTTGGGTAACCTGACATCAAAAATATAAAATCTCCTCTATAGGAAAGATTGTGATGCGATTTGTCAAGTCGACTACTTTACTGTAAGTTCTGTGCTTATATGAAAAAGGAAGTTTCACAGATCATCCAGATAAGGCTTAAAAGAAAAAATAAAATATGCCCACAGTACTTCATTCAGAGAAATAACCCTTCACATTCACAAAGAGAACAAAGAGGTGATGGTTGTATAAAATATTCCGCTTCTACAAAAAGAAAGAAAACATAGTTTATAATTATTTTGCAATTAAAGTTATATATTATGGGTCATCAACATTTTATTATTAAATAGCTTCGCCACCAAAATAATGAATAATAATTCAACAATACATGAATCCTCTTAATAATAACAACTTACACATTTATTTAATTAATAAATTCAAAAAGTTTATACAATTCAGAATGGAAGTTGTAAACAGAGTTCATTACATTGGAGACCTTTTTAAATATCCTAGTCTGAGGTTAAAGGGGGCCGGGGAACAGGAAGATTTCACCACTAGGTCTCTAAAGGTTATAGCTCCGCCCCTGCAGTAAACAGAAACTTTAAATAGCTAAAAGCAGTTTTAAAGCATTACCTTGTCCCGGTGGATTAGCAGCCATGTACTTGAAAGGCAGGAACCAAAAGTTTGGAATGAGCAGCGACTAGAAATAATAGAAATGATTTTAAATTTGTTTGACGTTCGTTTCTTTTCCCCTCCAGCCTGCTAATGCTGCAACACGAAGGAACGTTAAATGTGGCCTGCTTTTTAACAGCAAAGATACACAAAAGTCGAACAAATGAAAAATTCCACTATATTTGTTTAGGAACACCTGTAACAGTAAAGCTGGGTGTTTAAAATAACCACAAAGCTGTGGTTGTGAAATGTTTGGAGATGAGTCGAATTTTACTTCTGTGTTTTATCCGGTTTGTAGTTTAGATGGAGGCAAAAAAAGAGGAGGTATCACTTTGATTATATTTCGGGTATTTAGAAAGTTAGCGTAACTGGTGTGGATTAGCTTGGAGGAAGCATGCCTATATGACATACGTAAATTTAATCCCTTTAAAAAAAAAGTTAGATAACAATAAATGTTCAAATTGTGATATATTGTTTAGAATGTATGGACTTTTGATTCCCGCTTGGTTATTAAAATACTTAATGCTTTCAAACGTGAACTACGCTGTTTTAATGAAATCAAAATGATCTTTTTATGATGTAAAACACTTTGAACTGCCTGTTGCTGAAATGTGGTATACAAATAAACTAGATTGAATGATTTTACACTGACAGATTATATGAAATTCTCTGTGACTTCCAAGAGCCATCAGTTTGTGAAAAATAATAAACCTAAAATTTAAATTTCTTCCTAGTGAAATGTGACATTGTATGTTTTGAAATGAATGTAAAATGCCAGGAACATATTAAATTGTGGAGGAAACATGGGCTCAACACCGCATGGCTTTCTGAGGTCAATATTTTTAACCATAATTTAGCTAAAAACTCCAACTATAAAGTTACAATTGCTTCAAATCTCGCTAATTCTGGCTAGCCATTAGCATTAGTTCAAGGCGGTTTATGGCTAATTTGCTAGTAAAATAGCATCTATTTCAACGATCAGTTTACTCCTCTTCTTAATAGACGATCTTTGGATTGTCAGCCGTTGACGTGTTTACAACCGGGGTCTTTTAGATGAACATCCGGAGCTGGGCAGTGTGGGTCAGCTGACTGTTGTAATCAACTAGCGGCTGTTGTTAACATCTCATCTGAAGAGGAGCGTTAGGTAGAAAAACCATCTCCTCTGTCTGCCCAAACGCACGGAGCCGCTCGCCAGCCGCTAAGCCCGACAACCGGCCACGTCTTCCCGCCCTCAGCAGGGATGAGTGTCGGCGCTCCGAGAGGCCTGGCCAGCTCGGGGCAGAAGCTTATCACGGAGATCCTCCACCCGCTGTCCGCCGCCGAGGAGCCCCTGTCCCCGGGGCCAGATGTCACCATCAGCGCAGAGAAAGATAAGGTGAGGGTGGGCTAGGAGCTAGCTGTGAGCTTATCGGAAAACACGGAAAGAAAAGAGAAGTGTACACCAAACTTAACTCTGTGGAGCGAACATATGGAAATTCTAACTTGTATGCTTTCAACATCGTAAGTAGGTTGGAGCTTGATTTTTAGAGATTAAACTCAAGATTGGCTTTTGAACTGAATCAAATCTCGTAAATCAAAACCAAAATAACTTTTTTTTTTAAGCTCATGCAGCTCACAGTGCAACACCCGGTACACATTTTGTCAAGTTGAAACTAAAATCTGTAATGATTTTCTGTGACGGATCAACACGTCGTGCATTATTGAGACCACAAGGTTTTTTTTTCCAATAATCTGTGCCCACTTTTCTTTCTAAAATAGCTCAAGCCTAGACAGAGAGAATGTCTACACGTCAATATCAAGCCTTATCAAATTCTTAATTGGATTAAAGTCTGGGCTTTGACTAGCTCAATGTGACATATGCATATTTAAGATTGTTGTCCTGCTTGGAGGTTGAAACTCTGTTCCTGCTTTTGCAGCTCTGGACATTTTGCAGATTTCCCCAAAACATGATGCTGCCACTAGGGTGTAACTTTTACAGCTCTGTTGTGTTTATATTGACAATAAATTGCACACAGGGTGAACTCTACATGCTCACTCTGTTTTCATGACAGCTGTTGTCTTAATTTTCAGATTACTATCTGTTAGAAAAACCACAGATCAAGAACGCTAACAGAAAGATTTGTGTATTCTTGTATTTTCACCTCTTACATATTTGTTGCTTGACACTGACTCAACTTCATCTGTTTTCAGCCTAGAAAGCACAAACTCGGCAACACACAATGCATAAGCGGGGTAGAGGATAAATGGCCTCCTTGACAACCTCTGAGGGCTGTGTCAACATAGATGGAGCATGCAAGCAGGTCACAGAGCTTTTTTTTTTTTTTTTTTTTTAACTCATCTTGGAGCTGCGACTGTAGCACCCGTCTCAAATCAGCGGTTAATCATTGCCAGTAAGGGCTCCCGAAATTTGCTCGTCATGGTTACTTGCTCTGAGTGTTGTTGCTGCTCTCGTCCGTCTGCTCTCTCTTCCTGTTAAATGCAGGACAGTGAGGTCCCTGTAGTCGACTTAACTGGAGAAATACAACAGAGGAGACGGTTAAAGCAGGGTTGGGTTATAAAACAATATTTAAAGCTTTAAACATCACATGGACCACAGTTCAGTCCACCATCTTAACAACGGAAAAAGCCTGACACAACTACATACCTGTCCATCAGCAGCTAAGGACCAGAATGACACTTGAAGTATAATATTTTTTATTTAAATATTTCTTGTCATTATATTGAAAATTCTTTTCTTTAAATATCATTTCCCAATTTTCTTTGTGCATAAGTTTTTATTTTTTAAACCTTAACGTAGTTAAGTCGTAGTTCTACATTTGATACGTCTCCGACATTATACTTTTTTCTTTTTTTTCAAAAAGTAATGTAACATTCGTGGCTCTAAACAGGTTTTATGTAGCTGAGCTGAGGATAAGAATGTTTGTTTGGGTTGTAAAACTTGCAGACCGCTGCCCCAAACAAAGATGGCGGTGGCAGCATCATAGTTTGGGATGCTCCTCTTCAATACAAGGTGAAGAAACTGTCGCGGTGCTCCAAAAGATGCCCCTGAATAATCTTAAATATTGAGCCAATGAAATGTGTTACCTCAAAGTATATTTATATTCAGGTCCAGACCTGAATCTCTTATCAATTTGATCATCTGTAGTAAGATGAGAAAATTGATTTTTATGGCTTTTAACCAATCTAAAACCTGGTAGAGACAAACCCCCAAAGACCTGTAATTGCACGAGGAAGTGGTTGTTGGAGGTGGCAAATTACAAGCTACAATAGCTTGTTATGTTGCAAGCTATTGTAATATAACACAGGAAATGATTTGTACTTTGAGTAACTTCTTCTCTTTCTGGACCCAACAGAGAAGTGTCAGTTGCTTAATAGTAAAAAAAAAAAAAAAAAAAGCAAACAGAAAAAAGCAGTCCCACAGTTTCACAGTTTTATTTCCAGCATACGCTGTTTGCAGCTTTGCTTGCCTGGTTGTTCATTCACAGTAATGTCCTGATGCAGTGTAATTATCTGAGCTGTGACTACCAGAGCAGGTCAGCAGTCCAGAGGTAGATTTCCTGTGTCAGCAGCCTGTTGATGTGTGTTTTCTGTCTGCCAGCGGTGGATGTAATGTGTTTGTGTGTGCATGTGAAGTGGACTGAGGAAAGGAAGACAGAAGGGCAGCTCTCCTCTCCTCTCCTCTCCACGCTGCCTGAATTTGACACGTTGCACACGTATCCTCTTTAAAAGAAAAAAAAAAGGAGATTTCGCTTAAGCACTGATTTTCCTCACTTCCTGTGGTGCACTTCACTCCATTTCTAGGTGAAAGTTCTGCATATGAGTCAGTATGCATTGTTACTGGGTCTGTTGGGAAAGTTTTGCAGCTTCCTCTGAGACTGCACAAAAAAAAAAGAAGCCCTGAATTCTTCCTGTTCTGTTATGAATCAGAAAGCTGATCTGGGTTGCGCATCGTGTTCACGCTGTCCCGACAACGCGCCATTGACGATGAAAAACGGCTTTGTCAGCGTTACGGTCGTTCCATCAGGGAGCTCTTTGTCCGCCAGCCTCCCTGTAAGAGCGCCACCGTGACGTCGCTGTCGTGTTCCTCGTTTTCCCGGCAGGAGCCGGGCCTGACCAACGGCACGCCGGTGGAGATTTCCAGCCCCGCCTCTGCGTCGGTGCTGCTCAGCAGGCTGCAGCTGGACGGTGACCCGGAGGCCGACGCTCACGACCCGTTTGGCTCCGGAGAACCCCGCGACCTCTTCGTCACCGTCGATGACCCCAAGAAGCACGTCTCCACCATGGAGACGTACATCACCTACAGAGTCTCCACTAAGGTTGGTTCTCAGCTCATGACGGCGCTCTGCCTGGTTTTAAACCGGGTCTGGCTGTATTTGACTAATCCTTTAACAAGCTTCAAAAAAAAAAAAAGAAAAACTCCACCATGTTAAAGCTGCAGTATGCAACTTTTATTGAAAAAAAATATATTTTTTTACATATTTGTTTAAAACATGAGAGAGATCATTTGTGAAAAAAATCAAGCTCCTGCAACTCCTCCCTGCAGAAATGCAGTGCTCGTTCAGAAGCAACCTCTCTACGAGGCTATAGCTAGTTCACCATGCCAGAGCTAGTTGTGAATGCTAAAGCTAATTAGCACGAATAAATAGCTTTTATGTCACTGTAAGTTGTTTCTCTGCAATTGGCAGCGACAGGGCTTTCTGCACCAGCACCGAGAGCCTCTCCTCTCCACAGCTCTCCAGATACCACAGCCACTGTATTCACAATTTAGCAGCGCGTTCACGAGAATGATCGACAGTGCTAAGACACGCCTCCTGACTCTGCTTAGCTGTTTTTGGTCAGGAGCGGCGCATTTCTTCAGATGGTAGCTCTGGAGGAGGACATGAGTCTTTTTCACAAATTATCTGACTCATACTGTCACATCATGGTGATAGATTTAACAAATATGTAAAACATGTTTTTAATAAAAGTTATATGCTGCAGCTTTAATGTGTATTTTTTTCCTCCTGGTCATGAATAGGTCTACTCAATTTAAAGGTTGGATTTTTCAAAAAAAAGAAAAAAAAAACTCAGTCTAGAAATGACATAATGAGCTTAAAAGCAGAGTCCTTTAATCCTAAAGCTTCAGACATAAAGTTGAAATTACCTTCACTGAAGCCTGGAGGAAAACCTGAATCTCACTTTGGAAAGAAATGCGTCAGGAACAACAAAGCGCTTTTCAATCGCAGCGCTTCCATGAACTGAAAGTCGCTGCAGCCAGGTTTCCGTGATTGGAACCGGGAGAGAAAAAAAAAACTTGGCTTCAAAACTGACACCTCTGTGACAGGGACTTCCAAACATATGGCAAGAAGTGCTTACATTATTGAGTATGGAAAGGCTTCTCTGAGGTCCTGACCTCAATGCTGTTTAAATTAGAGGGAATGAGTCAGAAAAAAAAAAAAGGAGAAAAAGTTTGTTTGACTTTACTAGTTCTGTTATTTTAAGGCCTTCAACAATCCAAACTGAAAACACACAGAGGAGAGCCAGAAAACGACCCGCAGCTCCTTCAGAATGTCATTCCGACGGTTGTGATGAAGGGAAGTTTGTCAGAAGGTTTTGCTTCTATATTTAACAGCTATAAAAAGTCTGCGCTTTCTTGTTATTATGGCAGTAATCCGCTAAATCTCCGGGCTACATGGCGACGGTTGCTACGAGCAACAAGGCGCTTGGCTTCTGTGCCTGCACACAGCAGTGCCTCAGCCAAATAAGAGCACAAAGTGTTAATGGGGACCGTGTGTGTGTGTGTGCGCGTGCGTAAAATGTGTTTATTTCTTTCTTTTTCCCCTCAGACGACACGGATAGAGTTTGACCTCCCGGAGTACAGCGTGCGGCGGCGCTACCAGGACTTCGACTGGCTGAGGATAAAACTAGAAGACAGCCAGCCGACCCACCTCGTCCCCGTACGTCCCACAAGCTTCCCCCTCTTTGCGCTGCGTTCCCGTCGAGACGCGCTCCTCGTTCACATTCCCTCCCTCCTCTCTCCTCTGTCTCCAGCCGCTGCCAGAGAAGTTTGTGATGAAGGGTGTGGTGGACCGCTTCTCCGAGGAGTTTGTGGATACGAGGATGAAGGCTCTGGACAAGTTCCTGAAGCGAGTCGCGGACCACCCAGTTCTGTCTTTTAACCCACATCTTAATGCCTTCCTGACTGCCAAGGTAAGGCAGCGCCGGATTCAGACTCTAATAAATCATCTCAAGTGTGCCAGGGAAGGAAAACAGACCTGCAGAGATACGAGTGTAGAGCACAGTAGAGGATCTTTCACAGCGCTCTCTTTAAATGAATCCATCCACAATATCCTACTTTAAAAATATATTTTTTTATATACAAAATCACTGGAAATAATGCTCAGCCAAGTCCTAAAATAAAATAAAGTAACTTTAACCAACTTTAAAAAAAAATAAAATAAACGAATAATGTACATGTAAATACCAGTTATTCCTTATTTTCCATTGTGATATGGCAGAGATCTGCAGCCGGTGGCTCTTTGGATCTTTCTCAGCGTCTTTTAAATTGGCTAAAAATAGTAAAGAACCAAGGAATGTTGATAAAGACGGATAAAACAAATGCAGGTTTTCCAGATATATTTTTTTAACTGCCAGTCATTTGTGAAATAATTGTAATAATTCCCACAACCAAAAGCTTAAAGTACCAGGAATGATCAGTTTTTGGGTCCTTTCTTTCCTTTTCTTTTTTTT